CACACTACTTAATTCATAAAAGTAAACTGGATGGAGTTCAAAATAATTTTCTTAGATACATAGCATTTAAGTTTAACATTTACTACAAGTATGCGGAATTGCAACAATATTTAAGCATACTAGACAAATTCAAACATTCCATGTACCTTTTCACCGTTACAATTATGCGTTTAATACTTTTATTCCTAGAACACTTAGACTACCTAACTCTCTTCATTAATATATTCAACTTTTTGACAGTTTCTGTTCAAGGATTTAAGAGCAATCCAGTCCCTTCTGACGTCACACCGCACGAATCTCACGAGCTCCCTCACTGATCTGCAAAAGTATTTGGAACCTTGTTCGCTACATAAATTTGGCAATGTTGTGTGTCGTACCCTGAAGGGTCCGATTACAATTCAGGTATAATTCGTTGGCTATCGCCGCCTACTGAGGGTTAGTGGCTTGTTAATATACGAATGTAGGAATACTATTTTTGAACCAAACATCTCAAATATTTTTTATTTATTGATAGTTATAGATGATATACAGGGTGTCCCGAAATTAGACGGTCATATTTTAACAGCGTAATCTACATCCTAAAATAGTAGTAAAAGTTCATATAAACAGGTCCGAAAACTTTTCTTTTCCGAGATACAGGGTGTTAAAGGTGAAGTCCTGATATCACACTTTTGTAAATATTTTCTAAACGTTTAAAGATAATTGGGTAAAATTTGTTACAAATACTTACCTTTTTACGCTTCATTTATTGGACTAAACCCCAGTTATTGATCATCTTCTTAGGTGGCTAAATTAGAGGGAGCTTAGGGTAAAATTGCCGTGTGTGTCTGTGTGTCTATATCCACCATAACTCATGAACCGATACACATAAAAACACTAAATTTTAAATTTAAGTTTTATTTCGGCCTGACGTGAAATAATTAGATTTTGGACAAAGTCGGAACATCTGGGGGGGTACTTTATGGGAGGCCGTTTTTATATTTTATTGAATATATCTGTTATTTATGTTTGGAGAAGAAAATTATTCAAATAAAAGTTACTTCTAATATTATTATTTATAATTTTTGCTTTATGTCAAAATTTCCTGAAATGGTCCGTATTCGAGAAATTTGACAAAATGTGCAAAATTCTAAACTAAAAGTTGTTTGCGATATCGATCTCTATAATTTTTGTTTATACATGATTTTTCTAAAATGGACCGTAATGGAAAAATTGTAGGAAAATTGCTAAATTTATATTTTTTAGTATTTTCGTTTTCAATGAATAACTATAGAAAAATGTTTCGAGGTAGATAGATGTATGTGGAAAATGTATATATTTAGTTTATCCTCTAAACATTTATAGAGGTACTGCAATAAGTTGTACAAAATAACCAGAAAAAGCCTATAATAACTAGATAGGAAAGTCATGTGTTGGACACATCAGATTTTTTGACTATAAAATTTGGAAAACCAATATTTTCTGTATAATAAAGCTACATTTGTTGCATCTCGCTAGGACGCGCCATTTTCAAGAGAAAAGCATGTTACCTTATTCGAAAGTGTAAACAATAATTAGTAGGTCTGTAGAATTAGAAATTTTATTTTTTTTTAACTTTGAAAAACCGGTACTAAAGAAATTTTAGAAAATATTTTATCTGGACTTCACTTGTAACACCCTGTATCTCGAAAACGAAACGTTTTCGGACCTATGTTTATATAAACTTTCACTCCTATTTTTAACCGACTTCATAAAAGGAGGAGGGAGGTTCTCAATTCGTCGCAATATTTTTTTTTTATGTATGTTCAGCGATAATTCTTTAACACGGTGTCCGATTTTAATGATTCTTTTTTTGTTAGAAAGGGAGTACTTCAAGGGTGGTCCCATATAAATTTGGTTAAAATCTAATAATTGGGTCCATGACAAAATCCTCAAACTCTTCATTTTTTATGTATGTTTAGCGATAATGCTTTACCACCTTGTCCGATTCATATGATTCTTTTTGTTAGTAAGGGGGTACCTCAGGGATGGTTCCATATAAATTTGGTTAAGATGTGATGACGGCATCTGCACATTTTTGAAGTCGGTTTTTTTTTAATTTTTAATTTCTAATACTTTTATTTATTATAGATACAAACTAGCTACAGCTTTGAATATTTTATAAATAATTATCATATACATAAATAATTGGATAATTGCAAATAAGTAAAGTCATTTTTAGCTAAATGATTTTAGATTTTAGTTATATTTAAATTAATAAAATCTTAAAATATTTATCCTTGTTTAGTTAATATCCATTATTGCAATTTAGATCTATAAAGACCTATCGAATTTAGGTTTTTAAATTCCACCGGAAGTGCGTTAAATATTTTAGGACCGAGGTATGAAACAGTATTAGTTTCGAAAGCAAATATAATTATTATCACAGTATAACACTGATTCGTGATTCGTATCCGTGATCCGAAAAAAAGGATTCTAATCACTTGATTGAAGCTTTTTTTTTAAAGGATTCGAACATCGGATCCGTGATTCGAATCACATCTCGTGATTCGGATTCGGGATTCGAATCCATTTTTTCGAGGATTCGTCCCAGCTCTGGGTGACGGCACCTGCACGTTTTTGAATTCGGTTTTTTTTAATTTTTAATTTCTAATACTTGTAGGATGTAGATTACGCTGTTAAAATATGACCGTCTAATTTCGGGACACCCTGTATATTGGAAATTCGAAATAATAGTTATGACGTAGCGGTGTTTTTCTATTTGTAATCGGACCCTAGGTATATGGATACGGAAAGTGATGAATTGGAGATAGGTAAATTGTATTTATTGTATTAAAAGAACAACAAATATTAGTACAATTAAATAAGTATATTAATATAACAATTTTTTAAAGTCTGTATTAAAAAAATTTTTTTTCACATTGATTATTAAACTAAAAAAATAACTATTAAAACACGAAATGTTAATTTTTTCTCTTTTATAACACAAAATATACAATACTGTTGAATCAAAATTTTCTCTTGGCAGCAGGTGGTTTTTGTGACGCGACAATTATGATGCTTTGCATCTCATGAATTAAAGTTAATTCTCTTTCAATCTTAAGGTGTTCATACCCCTTATAATTATCGGACAAGAATATCTCAAAATATTTAAATTTTGGCAAAATAAATTAGGCAATAATATCTATAATATGCATATATTTTAATGTTTTAATTCCTTCCAGTTTCCCAAAAAAACTAAAAGGGCTTTAATTTTGAAATATCATAATGAAAATAAATGCATTCCTCGACAGCACTATTCTTAATATAATCCCCAAATTTAAGCCTCTAATGTCTTGTTAATGATTTCTTAAAATTCGCCAAAATTAGTGGCTAAAACGCTTCGTTAAGTGCTATCTTCTGGTGTAAACTGGTGTAAATTATTGCAAGAAACGAATAATGACAGAGTGTACGATACGATAGTTATAAGCCCGTTACACTGTTTTCCACTCAATTTATTAAAAAAAAAAATAATAAATTAGGGTGTTAATTTTTTTTCTCTGAAGCTATTGGTTTTGAGAAAAAAATTCAAGATTAAAAAAAAATTAAATAAATGAAGGATTTCATAAAAGTTCATCTCGAAAAAAAATTTTGATATGAAATAAAGTAAATGTTGCTAATTTCACCCCCCTATAATGTAACAGAAATATTGAAAAAAATACCCGTGGTTAGTCCTTTGCGATTACAGAATTTCAAGTTTCTAGCTTTACTGAAATTTTAGAAAAAAAATAAAAACTCAATTTTAGTCACCACTTTTTAAGGGTGATATTTCGAAAAGGGGTGGGCTGAGGAAATTTTGTTATAGAAAAGACCAATCTTAATTTCATACGAGCACCCATTTCCTGAAATTCTTAACAATCTCTTTTCCCTAATTGGCACATGTCGTATTTTTCTAAGATTTACTAACTCTGGCAGCAAACAAATAAAATAGAAATTTGTCAGCTGTGCATTTTTGCCTTTCAGAATTTTTCATTTCATAAATTAACTAAAAACTAAATTAAACAAAAACCTAACAACGCCTCAACAACAAACTAAGACGATCACAATAATTTCGCACCTCTTCAAAAACAACTACCTATTTTTCGACACAGGAATTAACAAATTTAACTAAACGGCAGCTACCCTTTTAACCACGGGCTTCAAAGACTAGCAGCGTTGCCATATTCACTGGTATCATTGTTTTAATAGAATTAGTATCGGAATGAAAACTATGTTAATCGTCGGTCCTGTTTAAAATTGGTAATCTTTTTGAAAAAAAGTTATTTAGAAAATAGTTAAGATATTTGTTATAGAATGCCGGTAAAGAGCCAAAAAATGAAATTTATTAAAAAGTTGAAATTTTTGTTGTTTTTCTTTAAAAATATAAGTTTTTCGCGGTTTAGCGAAATTCTTGGTTCATTTTTACAACGATTGGCCTGAACCATTTTTTTTTACAATTTTTTTTAACAGCCTCAAATGTAAAATTGATTTTTGGTGGAGGAGCGCCTGTCATGTTTGCTCTTAAGAACCACTTACTCACACTGAATATTTGAACGTCTCAAGCAATTCCATACTTTTCATTTATACACATTATAATTTAATTGCTGTTCTGTACATTAATGTCCACTCTTTTATCTAACCATTTTATTCTATATTTTACTTAATTTTTATGATATCACTATTCTATTTTATTGTATTTTTAATTTTATATTGTATTTTATTGTAAGTAAACTGAATTGGGCTTTGCCCATAAATAAATAAATAAAATTACTAATATTTAAATGTCACCGGAACAAGTATTACCGATACTTGAAAATCACAATATCGCCCATCTCTACTGTAACGGACCTTCTTACAAACATAATAAATATGCTCTATCGCTTATGTTCAATCGTCAATACCAACAACATCTATTATTTCCTACACTGGTAATTTTCAATATTTATTTTTTAATTAATCTCATATTACTAACGGTTAAACTGAATATTTGAACTAAAGCTTACCTAATACCGTATACAATAGGATTATACACGGCGTTAGCCTTTGCGAAGAGCGAACACCAAATTGTAGCCAGAGGGCTGATTTTTGAATTGCCCAAGATACCGGTAAAGTTCGTGACCAAATAAGGCGTCCATGCCATAAACCATAAGCTGATGGTCATAAGAGCAATTTTGGCCAATTTGCATTCAGCGCTGGTCTGAGAAGCTTCTGAAGATCGGAGAGATGCAACATTCATTTTCTTGGCTTGATCTCTCATTGATTTTTCGTGGGCAGCAACAGCCTGAAAAGAATATTAAAATGAACGGAAATACTTTAACAATATCACATAAAAAGCTGTATATAAATTTTGAATTATTTTTTTAATTTTGAGTTAAATATACAGGGTGGACCGGATTTAATTTGTGAATACAGAGATCTTTACGAGATACACATATAATGTCGGTTAAATGTAGGAAATATTTGCATGTTTTGACGGTTAATTCAATTATTTATTAAACCTTAAATAGTTCCGAAGATATTAGACAAAATCTGAAAAAGTTCGTGAATTTCTCTAGGCCAGTCGAAAACGATACCACAAGAATAAATAATAACCAGAAGGATATCTAGGATCACGTGATCTTCAAGGGCACGTGACCTTCAAGCACACCTACACCGATATTCTACACCAAAACTTTCAGTGCAGTAGCGACCGGCACGGGCGGTGGTATCGAAATCGTGAATTTATAATTATTATTATTCTGTTGTTTCTGTTATTTTGCTTAAATATTTTTATCGTTAAATATTTTCTGATTTTGTTGTGCTTTAATGACAGTGTGAGTTATGGAAGAAGGCAAAAAAAAGCTGGATTTGTTTGTAGTTATAAAGACTGCAAAAATAAATCTTATATCGGTGCATATTCATTGAACAGATTTCCTCAAGATGTTGAAATGTAATATAAATAAAGTATAATATATAAGTCAAATACAGGGTGTATAAAATCGACAAATTATTTGATATTTTTAAGGGTCTCGACTTTCAACTGACATTTTTAAATGAGATGTTATTGCTGTTGGACAACTTAAAAGTCTTTAATAACCTAGGCGAGGATATAACTAAAAAAATGAAGTTTATAACATATTTTAAAATAACAATTAGCTCCATTCTTCATTTATGGGATTTTCTTAAAACAAAAAACGTTACGTTTCTTTTTACTAGACGTTTAAACTAAGATCCGTTAAAAAATTTGTTTGGTCTTATAAGATAGCAAAATAGTAATTATGCTAATCCAACAGCCATTCAATTTCAAAGAATCTTTAGAAAGTTGTTCTGTGTAAAACTACTCAATTCAGGAACTCAAAACTGCGAGAATGACATGGATAATATGCTTCTGCGAGTATCTGATGTAAAGAGGATACAAATTCATTCGTAGCTCATACACATCCCCATACATTAAGTTTGCCAGAAATTGATAGCAGTTATCAAAAAGAGTTCAACGTTAGAAACGAATTTCGAAAGGTATTTTGCGGGTTACCTAATGAAAAAATGCCTATTTGTACATTCTTGTACAATTTGCGAGGAATATTCAAAAGCCTACCAAAATTTAGACGATACATCTTTATTTTGTTACTATAAAGCTTATAACAGCTCCAATTTAGATTTATTTGGTAACATGTAAATATGCCACACAATGATTTTGTTAAATTTATCTCCTTTTTAGAGGTAATATTTCAAATAAATTTTGAAACTATACACAAAAATGTAATAGATACGTTTCAAAGTATTTGTAGAAATACAAGTTTTTCACATATATGTGAAAAATTCCCACATAATTATTTAATAAAATTATTCGGTAGAGTAAGATTATTTTATACTCTTAAATGTATTAACCGAAATTTTAAAACTATAAAAGACAAAAAGATTGTCATTTGGAAAGATAAGTAAATATTTTTTTTATATATAAATCTTTTACTTACCTATATTTGTAATGTATGAACTTAAAAAATAAATCAATAGCTACCCAATATTTTTTTTCCCGACCTTTTTTTTTCGGTGCGCCTATGGAGTACAAGTAATAACTAAAAGACGAGGCAATAGCACAGCTTATGAATAAGCTGTGGTTTATGAATAAGCTGTGGTAATAGCTCGTCGGCATCAACTACAAAGGAATTAAATGAGTGATATCCTTCTGGTTATTATTTATTCTTGTGTTTTACAATACAACATTCATAATATTGCATTTAAATCTTTAAGAATCTTGTCTCTAAAATTTAAATGTCATTATTAGAAGAAGGAAAAATAGTACCTAAATATTATCTATTTTTTTTTTAAATAAATTATTTTACAATTGTTCTTATAAACATATTTTATTATTAACTATTATTAGTTTAGTTTGTATTACATAAAGAATCTTTTTCATTTATTTTAAATTTATTTAGCTACAGTAGAAGCCATTATTTTTGTTGTCATTCTACACATAGGTCACCACCATATTTTTAAATTAGAGCAGAGAAATACTTAATAAAAAAACTATTTACATAAAGAAAATGAATATTAAATAAAATATGGACAAACTAGAGTCTGCATGGCTGGCAAAGATTTAAATTTTACAAATCCAATTTCAAAAGTAACATTTCATAGCAACAAATCCCTAAAAAGACTGAATTAGGCAATCCAATTTAGAGTTTTCTCATATCACCGTACATCCCTTTGGCCCAGGCTTTCTGATGAAATTATCCACGTATGACAAAATCAGAGACGGATTAGGGAAACCACACAGTTTTCCAAATGTTTAACAAATATTTTCAGAGGTTTCGGTTTCTTATTTAACCTTGAGTGGTATTTTTTAAGAAAAGTTCACATAAAGTTGCATCTAATGAAATAACTAATGCCACAATTATTTTTTATTTTGATATTATTGTTGCATTATCGTTCTGTCGATATTTATAATATGTAAGTACTTTTAGTTCTAATTATATATGTACCTAATTGTATTCATCGAATTTTTAATAAAACCCTCAATGATCCTATGATCTGCAAACGTCGTTTTCCAAAAGCTCTAATACAAATATTCCTATAGCTAACAATTATGTTACATTCATGACAACCTTAGATTATACAAACCGTAGATAAAACATAGGACACTGCGCATAATCTCACTTCGAAATTATTCACACCAACCAATTACAGTTGAGGACGTCACATGTCAGAGTGTTGTTCATCCAAATTTAATTCAAATCTATTGTGTCAAGGAGAATTAATATGGTATTTTAGTAACAAATTTTGGAAATTAACGTTAATAATGCCAAGATGTGTTGTAAAAGCTGTATTTATAATAAAAGTGCAAAGTGTGACGCCGATAAAGGAAACTTACATTTATTTCAGTAAGTTATTTAATTTTTATGTTTAATTGAAAATAAACAGAACCGGACTTGGTCATTGGCACGTACTACAAGTTGCAAATTGGATAAAGGTTTTTATTGCAAACTGTTTACTATTTCTTCAGTATCACCTGGTCCGTGACACGAGAAGGTTTGCTTAATTTGTGCAAAACCAGTTCTTATCATTTTAAAGATAGTGTGCATTCAGATTAAGTTTGTATTATAAAAATTACTCATTTAATTATAAGGTAAGGTCTTTAAATTTAATATTGCTGAAAGCTGGGGCAGTAGAACACCGCCCCAGTACAGTTTTTCATCGGATAACCAGGAAATCAATTACGATCTCAATAACAAGTATCAAGCTGGGGACATAGGCCCTTATTTTGTATTCTTAGAGCATAAAGATAAAAATATAGGTAGATTATTTCCAATAAAGGTGGGGTTTTTCTACAACAAGAATCTGAATTCAAAAAAGATATTATAGATATAAAATCGGTTGGATTAAAACGAGTTAGAGTGAGATTTAATTCCTATAAAACTGCAAATAGTTTAGTAAATCATGAAAGAGTGGTTAAAAAACAATTTATTCCGAATTTTTTTAACAACAAAAAAGGTATTATTAGGAATCTTGATACTTTTTTTAGCGACCTATGCTAATATACGGTGCAGTTGCCTGGGTACCGAAAACCCAAAAATTAGCAGCTATCTGTAAATAGCTATAACTACTAAAGGGAGGGGGTGCAAAAAGTTTAATTGGTGGTGCATATGAATGCATCATGAGTTCATAACGGTGCAATATTTTTTTTGTGAAAAAATCATTAGGGGGCCAACTTCACGGTAAAGAAACAGCTATAACTACTAAAGGGAGGGGGTGCAAAAAGTTTAATTGGTGGTGCATATGAGTGCATGACAAGTACTAACTGGTGCATTACATTAAATCTTCAAATTTTCACTGGGGGCGGCTAGCGTTCATTTGCCCCCCCCCACAAAGAGATGGCTGTAATTTTTCAAGGAAAGTGGTGCAAAAAAAATAATTAGTGGTGCATATTGGAGCATCACTAGTGCATTATGGTGCAATAGTTTTTTTTTTAAATATCATTGGGGGGCAACTTCACTTCAAAAATGATTTCGGAATGTAGTCCAGTGATAAATTGATTATCAATTAGTTGTTGCACCCGTTTGTCTTTTTATTATGCATGGTGAATCAATGAAGTTTTTCTCGAAGTTTTCAACGTAGCACCAAAATTATTGCAAAACACGGTAGGAAATACAAAAACAAAACATCACAATTTTGCAAATAACTAAGAAAAAACTATAAACAGAAACCAAAAGTCAAAGCCAACTAAAATTAAACGGAAAACTGAGAAGAACCAAAAACATAAATAGGTACACGTCATATCTTGTTTTATGGGAATATTTTTTCAGGAAGTGGAAAGAGTAACATACAATCAATACAAAAATATCAATTTTATTATCAATTTATTCGTTTCAAACTTTAACTGGTTTTAATAGTTTTCAAAACTCTTTATTCAGTATTTCTTTATAATAATGTGGGATCGATCTATTTAATTTATATTTTCTTTAAAGGTTATTATTTATGAGTTAATTTTCGTTAATATAACTAATCTCTTTATACAAGGTGACACAACGAAAAGTTGACATGGGACTTTTGGGTATTAAAATGTTATAAACGATCGGATAGATCGATTTAGTTTGAAAGACGTCTTTTTATCATATTAATTATCATTCGTCATTTCACTTCACTCCGTTACTCTAACCAATGCAATTTAAATAGGGAATGTACTAAATATGACACGAGTCACATCAGTTCTTCTAATGACCTTGAAGGAATTTCAGCGCAAACTGCCATCTTTGCAGTTTACTTAGCCGGAGGTACCTGGGCGAAGTGCATAGAAGCCCGCTT